TCATGTACCACGGAATTGAGAAAAATAAGAGAAGGGCTGGGCTGAAGAGGTGAAGATGTTGAAGGGATGACACAGATCAAGATGCATTATTCACATAAGCTGCTGTGTTACATGACAAAAATATTCAATGCACAACCTACAAGTTAAGAAAAGTGAGGGAAAGGGTGGGTTGGGAGAGGTGGGTGAGAATGTTGAAAGCGATGACATTGATCAAGATGCACTATATTCATAAATTGCTTTGTTGAATGGCAACTCCTTTTTAAGAGCTTCTTAAAGATAATAAAAAATTCCAAAAATAAAACACTAGATAAAGGTTTATGAGGCAACAGAAAGCATAGGATACACTGAGACTATTCTAGAATTAAAGGGGATTTATATATATTTATATATATGGCTGAGATATGAGGATCATAAGGATCAGGTTCTGTCTAAATCTGCACAGACAAATCCAAGAGACTCTTTATTTCCCATTAACCAGTAAAAAGCTGGAAGTGGAGGCATGGAGCACCAACCATGATTGGAAAACGCTGGCTTTGAGTTCAAACTGTGGACACACACACACACACACACACACACAGAGGCAAGAGGGCTACATGTCATACATAATTCTGGATTGGATGCCTATTAATAACTTCCTAGGAAGGACATTCTTGGAGTCAAACTTGAATATGTGCTATATGGACAGATAATGAATTTTGAAGATTTTCCTGGAGGTTTTATGGACAATAGAAGTGAGAATTATATCTCAATAAATTGTAAGCTCCTTGAAGGTAAAAAAAAATCATGCCTTACTTATTAATGTATAATCAGCATTTAATGCAGTGCTTGGTACATATTCAGTGAATATTTGGCAAATAAACAATATGCTATACAGCTAAATGTAGTCCATTTTCCTAAATAACTTCTTACGTACTTCCCATAATGCATTCCTGGCAGCTGCTCCAAAATTGTTGATGAAATCAAATTGTATTGAACCATGAAGAATTTTACCTCTCTTGAACTTGATGGAATTCTCCTAGGTATTCTGGCTTCCAGATACTGGTATTTTGAATCTAAACAAAGTGTAGTGAGTTTGGGTTCATATATATATATACATATATATATATATATACACATACATACATGTGTATATACATATATATATAGTCAAAATATTGAGTCAAAGAGCCAATAGTTTAGAAAACAATATAAACAAAACTGTTCTCCTGGAAAGATAAGGAACTATTCCAGACAGTGAATACTGAGTGCCAGAACTGACAATAAGCCTGAGGAATGAGAAAGGGAACAGGTGCACAGTAACAGATCAACCGGATAGAAGAGAATCTGTGGCAGGTGTCTTTTAGATGAATTATAAGTTCATCTGTTCCTATATCTTAGAGAGTTTTCTCAGTATAACAGCCCTGTTACACGGGACTGAAACTTACAGTGCTTCAATCATTTGCAGCATTCCAGGGGCTGAGAGGTTCTGGGAGCAGCATACCCTACATTTCTGTGTGGCACTGAGAAGTGGGATCACCTCAGGCCTGCCTGGCTTCTTTTTTGGGGAGGGGGGAGGGAGAGGCAGCTAACCTCCAGTTGAGCAAAGCAGGCTTTATTGTTCAACTGCACTTTCCCCTCTGGTTAAAGGAATAATTAAGTAAATTCTCTTTTACAAAAAAAAAAAAGTCATAATCTGCCGGGCACCAATGGCTCATACTTGTAATCCTAGCTACTCAGGAGGCTGAGATATGAAGATTGCAGTTCAAAGCAGCCTGGGCAGGAAAGTCCATGAAACTCTTTATCTCTAACCAGTAGAAAACCAGAAGAGGCACTGTGGCTCAAAGTGGTAGAGCCCTAGCCTTGAGTAAAAGAGCTCAGAGACAGTACCCAGGCCCTGAGTTCAAGCCTTACCACCACCACCACCATCACCAGCAGCAACAAAAAAAGCTAGAAGTATAAGTGTGACTTGAGAGGGAAAGCTCTAACCTTGACTGGAAAAAGCCAAGTAAGAACATGAAACCCTGAGTTCAAACTCCAGTACTGGCACAAATAAAAGGATGAATTTGAATAGGGAAAACCAAAAGTTCCTGCCTGACAGCTGACACTCCATGTATTACTGTTGGGTACAATATGCTAAGCACTTCAAAACAAAAAATAAAATGCATTCCTTACATCTTAAAGAAATAGCATGGTATATTTCATTTTCTAACCAAATCAAGCATTATGACATCCTCTCCTCGCAATACTTGGTGCTAGCCACTCAAATGTGTTTCTTTTTCTGTGGCAGCCAGAGCTTGGTAGAACACTGAGCATTGGAGGCTGAGAAATAAAGGGTGAAGATTCTAAGACATCCTTACTAACACAGCATTGCTGAAAGGGCTTGTTTGAGTCAGGCCCAAATGTTAAGTGGGCTGATGAGCCTTACAAGTTGATGAGGACCTGGTGAAATAACACGCTGTGTACTTTTCAGTTCATTGTACAGAGGTACTGTGGTTTATCATTTGACTGTTTGGGTCTTTTTGTTATTAAATGCTGTACTTCACTGAAGCATTGTTGCAAGCTCCTTTCCCTTTGCTATCAAAGTCCCCCAGTTTTCTGGGGGAACACTGAGGCTTTGTGGCACGAATGTTAAATACTCCTTCAAATTTCACCCAGAGAAATGGTTGACAGGCAGTTATTATGTTTCATTAGCATCTGATTACAGGAAAAGGATCTTAGTTCTCCTAATTTCCTAACAGACATACTTCCACACTCTCCACAGTCTAGTTGGAGGCCATCTGAAAGTCCTAGGAAGCAAGCCAAAAACAGAGCTAGGCAAAGACCCACTGTGCAGATGGATTGAGTAAAATCAAACTTCAGGTTTCCAACAGCATTTTCCTTCCTAGAATCAGTATTCTTCCAGAGCCTCCAGATTTAGCAAAGAAATAAAAAGATGTCTAATATTTTAACCCAAAACCATTAGTAGTTTTATCTTAGTCTCTACCATCAGAGACTAATTTCAGAAATTTTGAGTCATCAAACCTTAGAGAAGCATTTCTTTAAATCTGATCCCAGATCATCTATATCAGAATAGTCTGAGGGTACCACTGGCTCAAACCTCTGATCCTAGCTAGGATGTGAGAATTGAGATTTGCAGCCAGCCAGCCGAGGCAGACAAATCAGAGAGATGTGTATCTTCAATTAGCCAGCAAAAACAAAACTTAAAAAAACATAAAACAAAAAACAGAAAAGGAGGTGTGGCTCTGATGTAATGCCACACCAGCTGTAAGTAAAAAAAAAAAAGTGGAAAAAATTTGTTGTTAAATGGCAACTCATTTGTACAATTAAAGAAAATTAAAATATATTAAAAATAAAAATAATGCGATTTAAAAACTTGCTCTACAAAACATGAGGGAAAAACTAATAACCATTGATGGTGAAATTAATCAACCACTATGTATTTCAAAGTGTGATCTTTAGGTGTTAGCATTTGATTAATCCATTTTTAATGTTCTCAGAGTACCAATTATCTGAAAGTCAAGATAATTCATTCATGTGCCATTAAAGTTTTTTTTTAAATAAGCTTCATGCTGAGATGGAGTAATGCAGAAAATAGCTAACCTAATATTTAATATGGATAATTAATTTATGTAGAGTATATATAGAGATATGAATCATTTTAGATGAAAAAGATTTAGCTAAAATTATTTATTCACTCTCCTCCAAATGTAGATTGATTTCCTCCAGAAAAGTGGTTGTTACTCACTAGCTAAAAAAAGCTTTACAAAAACAGGCACCCCAAAAAAGGAACAAAAAGAATTGAAACAAACAATGAATAGTCTGAAGGAAGGTAAAGAAAAAAATGTAGCTTACTGTATAGCACAGGCTCCCAGAAGTGACACTAAAGATAGGCATTTTTTTAATCCCAAATAATCCTAAAGCAAGACAATTATTTAAAAACCTCAGTTTTTACTACTCCTAAAGGAGACAGCAAAGTAACAGTGCTGCCTTTTATAGTCTCGGCAGTAAATACATGTTCCTTTAATTCCTTCTTAAGGGAACTTTGGGGGACTTTTTCCTGAAGAAAAGAACGTCTAAAGCCTTCACTGATGACTCTCTACAATGTGGGCCTATCCCTTATCCCTGCCTAGGCTGCTACCCCAGGCTGGCAGGTCCAAGGGACAAACAGATTGATCTTCTGTCAGTCAGTATACAAAGAGGTCTGCAATGATTTACTCATTCTCTAAGCTACCTACCACTGTACTTTTTTTTTTTTTTTTTTGTCTGTCCTGGAGCTTGAACTCTGGGCCTGGGCGCTGTCCCTCAGCTCTTCAGCTCAAGGCTAGCACTCTACCACTTGAGCCACAGCGCCACGTCGGGCTTTTTCTGTGTATGTGGTGCTGAGGAATCAAAACCAGGGCTTCATGCATGCAAGGCAAGCACTCTACCTACCACTGAGCCACTTTCCCAGCCTCCACTGTGCTTCTTATGTTCTGGATCAAACCAGGAATTCCCCCCAAGATTTGTCTATCTCTACCTAATTCTTATTCTCTCTCTGTCGGTCTTTCTCTGTCTGTCTCTGTCTCTCCATCTATCATCTATCTATCTATCTATCTATCTATCTATCTATCTATCTATCTATCTATCTATCTACCTACCTACCTACCTATCTACCTACCTATCTCTAATTCTGTTCACCAGCACTGTTCTGTTTTCCAGCACTGTTCTGGCCTGTCAGCCACCAACGTTAAGGACCCAAGCATTGCAACTTGAGAAAGGAGTGAGACCCAGCAGACCCAGCATTTACAGACCCTAAAATGCGCTTGCACCTCCCAAAGACTGCTACTTCCAGCGTGCGCTGCAGCCAGGTTTGTGAAGGAAAAGAACTGCAAGCCAGCCTGGAACTTTTTCCTTCGTATCCCGTCGGGCAAAGGAAAAATTCAGCGAGGCCGCAGCCGGCTTTTTCCCCCTAACCCCCAGCCGGGAAGGGGAGGGGTCTGGCCCGGGCCCCGCCCCTCCCCGGCCGGCGCCGGCCAGTCCTCCCGCGGCCGCTGGAACTGGAGGCACCGGCGCTGCGGCGCTCTGTCCCCGCGCACCATGGTGTCGGTGACCAGGACGGCGTTTGGAGAGCTGCCGTCGGGGGCAGGGCCCGTGGAGAAGTTCCGGCTGCAGTCAGATCTGCTCAAAGTGGACCTCATCTCCTGGGGCTGCACCATCACAGCCCTGGAGGTCCCAGACAGGCAGGGGAAAGCCTCCGACGTGGTGCTCGGCTTCGCCGAGTTGGCAGGTGGGTTGCCCGGGGCTGCCAGCGACCTTCACCCCCGGCCGGATCCTGCCGGGCGAGGCGGGGCAGAGCTCCTGGGCTGGGGGTTCGTCCACCTTGAAAGCGCTGCGGATTCGGCTGACAGGTTGTGTGGCGATCCAGAGCGCGGAGGGCTGGGGCTGGGAGGGGAAACTCGGAACCCAGAGCTGTCCGACTTGGCCTCCGGTTGCCCGTTCAGGTTTTGCCCGGGTGAGATAGAATTCCAGCCAGCGCTGCCGGGCGACCTTTGACCTGCTGGCCACGGTGGGCGTGGCTTTCCCTAGCGCGCTCTCAGTGGGAAAGCCAAAGACCTGCGTCTCCTACTTGCCTTTTCTCTTTAGATTCTCTTTGAGGCCTAGTTGGCTCCGAAATACTCCCGCTGTGTAAGGTGTGTGTAAGTTCTGAAGAGAGCTAGGCAACTTTGGTCAATGAGAGAACAGTGCCTAGTGTATAGTTGCTCTGTCAGGAAAGAGGTCTCCTAACCAGATGGGGTGTGTGTGTGTGTGTGTGTGTGTGTGTGTGTGTGTGAACTGGAGCTTGGAGCTTGAACTCAGGGCCGTGTGTGTGTGCGTGTGTGTGTGTGTGTGTGTGTGTGTGAACTGGAGCTTGGAGCTTGAACTCAGGGCCTTCCTCATTTCATTGGCTTTTTCCATTCCAAGTTCTACCACTTGAGCCACCCTCTACTTCCGGCTTTCTACTGGTGATTGGATCTGAGCCTCAAAGACTTTTCTGCCACGGCTGGCTTTGAACCACAATCCTCAGATCTTAGCTTCCATCGGGCTCAGAACTTTTACCTCATCCTATCCTTAGGCAATTAGAATTATAGATTCATGCATTTAAAAACTGATAATTCAGTGGACTCATTCAGTAAAACACAAGGTTCACCTATGTGGAGCGTGCAGTTCATCTGTAGAGACAATTTTAACCCAATAATTATAATTACAGTTTGTATATCATATTACCAGTTGGCATTATAGTATAACTACACAGAAAATGAGGTCTGAAAGACAGTTGGCAAAGCAAAACAATAATAGTCTCTGTTCAGGGGTTGGGTGGGGACAAATTTTATGTGAGGTTTGAGGTTTTCTTTGTGGTGTGGCTTTCTACCTGTATGGTTCTTTAGATGTTTAATTTGGCTCATGGTTTGGGGTCAACAGACACACTATGAGAGTTGTGTGCTCTCCCCCTGCCCCCCTTGGCGAAAAATTTGTTCTCAATCTGCTTAGCAAAATTTCCTATGAGAATATTGCTGAGGAACCTATTCCTTGTCTCGGGATCTTTTGTCTGCTCTGGAGCCCCCACAGATTAGGTGGGAGAAGAAAGTATTGAAGAGGCTGGTTCAGGAAACTGACTGGTGGGCTGAAGGTGTGAGAACCTGGAGAACAACTCCACCTGCCTCCAGCCAGAAGGGCAGGAGGGCAGGCAAGTGAAGAAAGGGAAATCTTTGGAATCATTTGGCTAATTATTCACCTCTGCCTCAAGCGTAGCTATCTTCTTGGAGAAAGACATGATTGGATTCATGTACAAAATTGCTCAGCGGAGTTAAAGGTGAATTAGTTGTATGGCCTACAATTCCAGAGCCAGTGAGAGAAGTGGAGATGATAAAGAGTGGGTACCTTCTTCCCTCTCTGCCTCGTCACCATCTCCTCTACAAAGACACGTGCACACTGCCCTCACTAGGCACCTAACATCTATATGAAATGTGAGCCTAGAAGACATAGCATCTGGCAAGCAGCAGTTTCGTGAAAGGCATGAGGGTGCCATTTGTAGAAGTGTCCACTGTCCAAGGCTCAAGGCATTCACACAATCAGTAACCTGTGAATGTGGGAACCTTGGAGGAGTCTCAGTAAAAGAAACATCCTTTAGATATTTCTGTAGAAAAGGCATTAGCTCCCTTTGATTACAATGATCTAGTTGTTCTCTTATTGCCAACCTACCTTGGATTTTCTTATCAGAATGTACCCTAGCTTCACACAATGCCAGGTCAAGTCAAAGCATTTCATGTATTCTTTTTGGTGTTGGATCAGTATGGACATTTTTTATTCATCGACCATAAATTAGATAATCGAGTTACCGTAAATGGGAAGAAAGCTAATTTTTTTTCTTTTTTTCTTTTTGGACAATGTCACCCCTACCCTTGCTCGAAGAAATCTATTTCAAGAGAGAAGAAGAGAGGAAAATGTCCTCAGAATATTAAGTAACATTTTCTAATATGTTCAACTATCTTTGAGGTTATTCTAAATGAACCCTATTTCCCTTTTGAAGGCGCTGTGTAAGATTTTTATAGACAACTTTAATGTTGGTAACAAAGGTAACAAAGACTTCACACATGTCATAACAGGAATATATTTTCTCCACTAGGAGAGTATGCATTGGCTCTTTGCTAATATTCTGATTTCTAGTGTGTGAAAATCCATAGTAAGGGATTGGAGGTGTGGCTCACTTGGTAGACCACTAGCCCTGAGTGAAAGTGGCCACAAATACCAAGTTTCAGACCAAGAAAAAAAAGAAAAGAAAAAAAGAAAAGAAAATCCATATTAACGCAGGCCCTGGTGGCTCATTTCTGTAATTCTAGCTACACAGGAGACCAAGGTCTAAGGATCATAGTTCAAAGCCTGCTGGAGCAGGAAACTTTTTTTTTCTTTTTTGTCGATCATGTGGCTCAAGTGATAGAGCGCTAGTCTTGAGCTGAATGAAGAGCTGAGGGACAGGGCCCAGGCCTAGATTTCAGGCCCCACAACTGACAAAAAAAAAAAAAGCTAAAGGACAAAGCCTAGGCCCTGAGTTCAAGCTCCAGTATTAGCACATACACACACACACACACACACACACACACACATGCACACGCACATCCATATTAAGAAATTAGAACAGTATTTGGCTGTCCTTAAGAAAGTTCCATAGGTATAGGAAGGAGACTTCATTTTCATTGTATATTCTTTTTAAATGTCTGATTACATAAGCATATATAAACCAATGAGGTAAATAACATGAAGTAATAAGATTTGACAAGAAAAGGATTACCTTGTCCCCAAAATGTTTCTGAGTTAGGAGGAAGTGCTAAACATGAATAACTCCATGGTCCTTTTGTTACTGCTGGCTTGGATGTGAACAATCTTGTTTCCCAGGTAGATTACATACACTGCTTGGAAAATAGCCATAACTGGAGGTCAGAATGGTTCAATTTCTCCCTGGGAAAATGAATTCTTTCTTCTATAGCATTCTAAAGGAGGAAATTACAAACTGCGGGGGGCGGGGGGGACACATAGTAATGCCTCCTGTGGGTTTTTCCTACTTTAAAAGTGTTTTTCATCTGTGTGACCCTCTTATACTTATTTGGACTGCTTTCAACACCTGTGATGAAAATATTTACTTATGAGCCACAGGTATAAACAATCAATCCATGCAGTCAGTGAGACTACTTCTCTTTCATTTTTCTTCCCAATTATTCTCAAATACCAGCTATTACTGCCATGAGAACCATTATGGAAAGAATAAATTAATGTTTTAAGGCTGGGGATATAACTCAGTGGTAGAACATTTGCCTAGCAAGTGTGAGATCCTGGATTAGATCCTTAACACCACCATAGATAGATTCATAGATAGATAGATGCATACATACATACATATATACATACATACATACATACAGCAGTGCTTTTAGAAAACTTGAGTTAAGAGCAGGGCACTGGTGCCTCGCACCTGTAGTCCTAGCTACTCAGGAGGCTGAGATCTGAGGATTGAGATTCAAAGCCAGCCTGGGCAGGAAAGTCTTTGAGACTCTTATCTCCAATTAACCACCAAAGAACTAGAAGTAGAGCTGTAGCTCAAAGTGCTAGAGTGCTAGCCTTGAGCAGAAAAGTTCAGGGATCATGCCCAAGCCCTGACCAAAAAGAAAACTTAAGAAGGAGAGTTGCAGCCTAGTATTGTAAATGCCTAAGTGTGACCTTGGGGGAACATTGAAATTTCTGGCTTAAATCTCTGCTTTGTCTCTTCCCCAGCTCACCACTCCAGCCTCCTTCATCGCCTCTCTGAGGCCTTGTACTCGCTAGGCAAATACAAATGGATTGTGATGGTTAATACCCTAGGGACTGTGATACGTATCTGACCATATCTGAACACAAATGTGATGTCTCTAGAGAGAGCAATTGATCTATTTTCTTCCCTTTGTCTCCAAATACCTTCTCTCCTTCTAGTAATTTTTTTATTTTACTTTGTTTACTTTGTATAAAATGATGTAATTCATCTAGGAGAGCCAGCCAGCATTACAAAAATATATAAAATATATGATCCAGGTACTGGTGGCCCAAGCTTGGGATCCGAGCTGCTTGGGAAATAGAAGTCAGGAGGATCCCAGTTTAAGGCTAGGCTGAAATGGAGTTCATGAGACTCCATCTCAACCAACAACTGGGCATACTGGCATACACCTGTTAATCCACCTTCATAGGAGACTGAGATTAGGAAAACTGAGGTTCCAAGTCAGTCTAGGCAAAAATGTTCACAACCCCCACCTCAATAGAAAAAGGTGGGCACAGTGGCATGTGCCTGCCTATCATCCCAGCTAAAGCAGGAAGTGTAAAATAGGAAACTCACAGTCCAGGCCAGTGGACACTACACTAACGTGTCTATCCTGCATCCAGCCTAAGCGTAAATGGATGAGTTCCTAGGTCACATAAAACTATGATCAAGGGGCTGGGAAGGTGGCTCAGTGGTAGAGCGCTTGCCTTGCATGCCTGAGGCCCTGGGTTCGATTCCTCAGCACCACATAAGCAAAAAGAA